AAGAAATCTCCTTAACCTGGCATAGGTTCTAACCTTTCTCTACTCTATCCAACTCTAAAAAAAAATTAAATTGAGATATGGTGCTCAAAACAATTATCCCCTATGTACAGTAAATGCAGTGTTATGTATGCCACAGCTCAAATAATGAAAACAGAAGAATTCTGGATTCTCCAAAGATTTAAGATCTTGATGCATATTCTGTGTGATCTCCCCCCCATACATACAGTATGTAGAGAGAGGCAGAGGCTGTGAACGGTATAACAGACCAGAATCAATATGCTTCGCTCCCTCATCTTTGCACTCTGCCACATTAAGGGGTGTACAACACTATGTCACTGCGTGAGCTTTTAAAGGGAGGTGTCACATCGCGTTAGAAAGTGGCACAGTGTAAAAAACTGGGCCAGGCGGTGCTCTGATCATCTTTTTTTCTCTTGAGCACCACTGAGATGGGAACAGAAGAGAAAAAAACAGCTCCCACATAAAAGGGAAACAAAAAAATGTGACAATTATAACAAGTGAAGGAGCGATCCTTAGGCTGCTGATTAAGGCGGGGTGGAAATTCCAGACAGCACAGATTGGCTATAAATACTGCATTGCAATACAGTTTAATCATTGCATTGGAGATTGCTAGGAGAGAAAAAATGGTGACCAGGGGAAGGGTTGCTCCCTTTGATTTAATCTGTCCCGTATACTTCCCAAATATGCTTTGCTGAAATGGTGCTCAACCAACAAAACGTATTACAGGATCAGTCGACCCAGAAGTGATATTATTATTATTATTATCATCATACAGGATTCATATAGCGCCAACAGTTTCCACAGCGCTTTACAATATATTATCGTTAAAGATGGGACCCTGTGGCCTGAGTCAGCCCTTGGCTTCTTATATGTCTTGTATACTCCAACAGTAAGATCTTCTGGCCTTGAAGCGTATATAAAGGCATTTAGGAGGCTATGCTGGCCTAATGTGTCCTATGCTAGAGTCATCACTGGAACAAAGAAAAACTGGAACATCCAGTTTTGTGGCGGCAGCACTCTAGAGGAAGTTCTGTGTGATTCTTCTAGGTGCTGAGACCCAGCAGCAACTTCGAGCCTGAGAATCTGTTGGAGCCCAACAACCTAGTTCGGGGTAATCCACCTTCTCCTGTCCTACCTCCTATCAAGTTCATAATTAAATAGTTGAACATCAATCAAGCATGGACCTGAACTTCGTCATCTGCCGAAAGTAAAAGCGTGATGTACCCTTCGGACAAGGTGTTCCTAGACAGAGCCTCGCTTATCTTTTTAAGGCCCTTCTGGATGGAGGCACTAAAGAGTTACAACCTAACAGAAATTGCCTTAAACTTTCACATGATTGGAGGCCCAGGATCCCTTATCTGCCCAGTAGCCAGCAAAGCATTGGCTTTAATTACTGCAAGGTGAAGATCTTCTTACATAACCCCTTTCTGAAACAGGGTTACATGCATAATATAAAGAAAACACAAAACCAGAAGAGAGAGTAGGAACCCCTCCTAATGGTCACGGCAGGTGTGCAGATCCAGGAACTCATTACAGAAATATCAATAGAGTTCCCAAGAGATATATGAAACTGCCAAGGGGTTTCAGTCCCTAGCATCTAACAAAATCTGAAAGCAGATACTGGTGTAATAAATACCTGACGTGTTACTCAGCCTGTGTTCACTTCACATGAGAAAATATATCTGACTCTAGGTCTGCTTTAAAGCCCAACAGAAGTCTCATCTTTTTTTGCTCTTTATAGGCCTCAGTGGCGGAACTACCGCCGGTGCAGGCGGTGCGGGCGCCCGGGGCCTCAGGCTCTGGAGGGGCCCAGCAAGTTCGGTAAGGCCTGTATTGCAGTATGACATGTTTTGAAATGCCTTAATGCTGAATTCCAGTAAAAATGTTTTGGGGCAACATCACCATTCACATACGTTACAGCTAATGAATAATTTCCTATGTCCTGCTGGCTGCTGCTTACTGTAAAACATCTTTTCGGTGATGCCGGATACTCCCATAGCTGTGCAAGGACCTTCCTTATTAGATGTAACTTATGTGACTGGTGCAGTAGCCCCCAAACATTTTTTACTGGAGTTCAGCTGTAAAATACCATTTTCTCTTCCTGCCAATGCAATTCTTGCCCTCCCATTCTAATGCTCTATGCTGGTATAGCTACGTACCAGCTGCACCCCACAACACAAATGTCTGCACACAGATTTGCAGCGTTGAGGAAGAGGGAGGGTGTGCCTGACCCAGATTGTCAGGTTACAGCCTGCACTGGGCAGTCTGGTCCAACTCTGGTGCCTATCGGACAGTGCAGTCATGTTTAGAGACACTGCACAACTATTACAACAGAAAAGTGGAGGTAAACCTACAAAAATAGTAGGTAATGAGCACGCTGTTTGACTGGAAAGCTATTTTTGTAAGTTTAACTGAGCCATTGGATAAATTGAGCGAGCTTTTTGATTTTACCACAACTGCAGTGCTGCTGGATAATCATTAGTAGTTAACTGAATCCTTTCTGTTCATTCTTGTAGGAGCTCTTTCTTTATGTTTCTGCCTCTTGGCCTTTTGGCATCAATGGTTCCTAATGTAATGCCCCGGACCACATAAAAAGTCTCTCTCCAACGTTTATGTTAGACAGGTGCGTCTGAAAGCCTTAAAAGTTGGTGAGATAAAGTGACTTTGTGAAGCAATGTACTGCGCTGCTGTCTGTCAGTTCAAGGTTCCTCACCCATCTCTCACATCACCTGCAGCCTATTACATTTCCTAGACTTTAGAAGTGCTTTGCTGCGACCTACTTTCCCTGCCAGCCTTCAGCCCATTTCTTAAATTAGCAATGCAACAAGCCCTCCTCCTCGTTTTATAATGCTCTGGATGTTCGCAGGATAACTAGTCCGCCTGTACTGGGTTGCTTTGGGCTCGGTAATGAGGCTGCTGCTGTCCACATCTCCTTCAATCAGTGGCAATGCCTGCTGGTTTGATCCTGGGAATGCTGAAAAAATTGCAGGGCTCTGGGGAAGCACTCACAGGCTCGGTAGGCACATATCACTAAGAGTCTGCTGGAAGGTCCCTGAGGCGATGCTCCGAGGGATCTAGCTCTGCACTCAATGTCTCTGTTAGGCCCAGGAATAGGCTTCAGCAAGGCAAGGGTCAAACTGTTGCATGCTGCAAGTGTGCGCTTTTTGGGCACAACCATTTCATTTTCTTCACGGCAATAGTTTATTTAAGAGAATCCTGTACTGAGAGAACATGGAGTCTGCCCTTGCTGACCTCTTCTAAAATTCTAGTTGCCGGGTTCCAATGCCGATTTGCCATCTTCCATGGCTTCTGAGTCTATACTGCAAGGGAGCGAGTTACGTCCTGTTCTGCGAAAATAGAAATGAGGGTATGGCTTCAACTATGGTAGACGTCTTTACCGTAAGGCTAGGATGCCTACCAGTACTTGAATGCCCCCGGGACTTGAGCACTATATTTGCAGAACTATAGTGCCTGCCACGACCCTCCAGGGGGAGAGTTGAAGTACCGTGACAGATGTTTAATCCGTTATCCAAGGAAAGGGTCAGTAACAGTAGAAACTAGGTAAGGCAAGGCTAAAGAGATACAGTCCAGCGCTAGCTAGGAAATGCTATGACAAGCCCAGAGCCCGGGGTGTGTGATGTTCAAACAGAGCGCCATAGTGCCGCAGCCAACCACTGTCAAGCGACCAGGATGCTGCTCATAAAGGTGCGCTGCCAGCGGCCAATGAGGGCAGGGGGTGTTTTAGGGCACGATGGCAGAGCGGCACTTGTGGTGGAGCAAGAGAGCAGAGGCTCTCCTAACAAATACTTGTAATGAAAATGCAGGAGAGGAATTTTTACTTCAATCGTCCTTCAATGTCATCTCTTTGAAGAGTTCCCTGAGCGGCATGCTCTCTCTGAGATTGGTGGATTTACTCAGTGGAGATTGTACAAAGGCAAGTGTGGCATGGCACCTTTTTCGTAGAGACTTAAATGTGGATGGGTTGGGCTTGTGATCTCTCAAAGGAGTTGGTGGATTAAAAGTCGCCATATAGGTGTTGTCCATAGGGGTCCTGTCAATGGGGATGGAAATCATAGAGTCATTGCCAGCATTTCCAAATAAGTAGGAAGGACAATTTGAAGGGTTTGTCTCTGGAGGTGTAGGGGACATGGCTTCACAGCTTGGAGTGTCACACCTTTTATACCACAGTGCTACAGACATCCCCAACTCTTGCAGGCGCCCCCGTGCCAGAGACCTTCCTGGCATGCACCCACCACAAAGGAAGGATGGGGTTTGGAGTTTAGATCCAGGAAAGGGTAAATCTAAGCCTCAACTTGGAGAGAACAGGAGGTCCAGTGTACAACCTGGACCTTGGATCTAATGGACCTCACAGGGGTCAAAGATTCAGCTGTAGGATGTTGGGGAGATTTCACTCTATTTCACTTCCTGTACCTGATACACAACAAAAAAGTGAGAAGAATTTTCCACAAAGTAGGGGGGAAATCTTCTCTTCGAATAGGGGTAGGCAACTTTAGCACTCCAGCTGTCGTGGCACTGCAAGACCCATGAGGCATTGCAAGTCTCTGACACCATTTTGGTCTAGTAGATATACCTTTTAAATGTTTTGTTATGTCTGTTGAAAAGGTGCAAACAAACTCCTGCTGAGCCTGCCTGAAATCCAGTGACCTAATTGTCACCCTAGAATAGAAATGTTTTACTGGCAGTATTACCAGGCACACATAAAGAGGAAAAAAGCCTGAAAAGGAAAACTAATACAGCCAGCACATCTGAGGGCTGGCAGGTCTGAAATAGATGACATTTTTGCGCTTGGGTTTAGATATACTTTAATTAAAAGGCACAACACTTTCCATTTCCCACAGCTAATTACTCAGCGGTATCAATATGATTGGTAACAGTTGCATTGTCCCCCTTTACATGTGAAAGGTTTGGCTCAGCTCGACCAATCACATAATTATCTTACATGATCTAATCTCTTCTCTCACCTTTGCAAAATATCATTGAGCTCTGCAGAATATCTGGACGGAAGGTTGGGGCATGGATCATTAACGATCATCGATACCAGTTTGACCCATCTAGGACAGTCAAAAGCACGTCTGAATGTACACAGTTCATAGAGGATGCAACCCAGAGACCTGAGAACCAACAGATAAAAAGAACAATGAGAATATCAGGCAGGCATATTAAAAGTTACATAGTTACATAGTATTTGTGGTTTTATAAAGACACAGGTCCATCAAGTTCAACCTATTGCGTGTATGTATGTGATTCTGCATGTGTATGAGTCCCTGTGATCTTGTTTTTAAGGGTACCTGTACCTCTGTATGTTACAATCTCTGAGGAAATTGTCTAAATTATTTTTGAATGATTCAACACTCTCAGCTAATACCACTGCTTGCGGCAGTGAGTTCCAGACCCTAACCGCTCTAACTGAGAAGAAGCCCCTATGCCCCTTGTGGTTAAATCTTTTCTCCAATTTGAGGTGGTGGCCTCTAGTCTTTGTTATGGAGTTTATAGTAAAAAGTTTATTGCTGATGTTGCTATCACCATTGAACATCTTGTACATCAAAATCATGTTTGTTGGTTTCAAACAGGTTTTGCATTCCTAATTTCCTATGCAAGTCAATGGGAATGCAAACCCTGCTTGAAACGAGATCAAATGCAGGTCAGAAGCAAGTCAACAGCAGGTCATATGCACCTTTTAATGAACTGTGAATGATCTCAGAAATATCTCAAACTGATGCTATTAACACAAGACCAAAGAAGTCAGTTATGGCTGAGCTGAACACTAAACTCCTGATTTCCTGTAATTTTCTTTTCATCACGTCCTCCATGCCGCAGTTGCTCCATCTGGCAACCCCCACCATGGAGTATTTGCCCTTAGGCTTCTTCTGGATGAGGGGTGTCCATCCCTTGGCTTCTTAGTACAACAGCTATAAACATGGCATCACATATAAATGCACCCCAACGTTCACACACATTGCAGATGATTCTCTCATTTGAGACATTCATGCATTCGGGTAAGGCTCTTCCAACAAAAAAACTACAGGGCTCCCAAATTGAGAGGGGGAGGGAGGAATGGAGCAAGGAAGCCCTTGAAACTCCAATCCTGTGTTGCTGGCTACTGTCACTAGTTAACCCGGGTCCAAATTTTTCCAAAGGGATTCAATTAACAAATAAATTCGCAAGTCCCGATGAAGGGGGAAGTTGTAGACCGTGAACCCTTTTGGCTGTTTTTACTCCTTTGACCTTTTAAAATCTTCTTGGTCTCTGCTATCACTGGTGGCACCCCCTTCCTTTCCTGATTTTTTTCATTCCCAGGTCTGGTTTTTCGGAAATCAGGGTTGTACTTTTTAAATTTTATTGGCAGGCTTTTAGCTTCCTTTTGGCCCATCTCACTGGAATCCAACCGGCTGCATTGTCAAGTGCACAATAGAAGTTCTCAGGCAGCCTGCAGCCTAAGAGACATAAACGAATCGCTTAATAGCCGTTACTTTTTAATGTGACAGAATATATACAGCTTCACCAAGCCGGTTCTACGCCAAGAAACTTGTAATTTAATTATGGTGACTGAAAGCCTGATACAGTTGGAGCTGCAGGTAGAGGAACCCAGACTGTGGCATAGATCATAGCGGAGGTAGCACACGGCTTTTCATAGTATAACACCATTTCAAGGGACATGAAGGTAAATACACAGATAAAATACACACACAGCCGACAAAGGATTTGCCATTTTGTCCAGTCACTTTGTGATTTATACACAGATAGGAGGGTGACACTACTTTTTCTGTTGGAGTTAGGGATTTATAGTGGTGTCAACCCCTCCCCTGGTTGGACAATGAAGAAGCAACAACACACAGGTAAGGTGTAAGCTTGGCTAACTTTGAAACACACAAAAGAAGAGGCGCCTTTCCTGGTGCAATATAATTTAATCCAAAAAGACAGGCATAAAGGTGAATTGAACTTTGACCCTTCTTCCTTGTGCATGGCGCAGAGTTTGGCTGCCCCCTCGTTCTGCCCCTCAATCTCTCTAAGTCAGGTGTGGGCAACTCCGGCCCTCCAGCTGTGCGTTAACCAGACATCCCAACTCTCCCAGACGTTCCGGGAGTCTAACGTTATTAGATAGCGGCTCCTGGACACCCAGGAGAGAAACATTTTCTGCCAGAAAGGTTTACTCTGCTTTATCTAGCAGAGTAAACCTTTCCCTGCGAACTGTTTTTTTTCTGACACGGCCACCGTCAGTCAGAGAACAAAAAAAACAGCATAGGAATGCATAACTAGATTGCTATTGGCTATTTTACTTTGCAATAGCCAATAGCAGACTAGCTATTGCCCCCGCCCACTGCTGCTGTCAATCAGCAGAGGTACACCTGAAGTTCTCCATCAAGCCCCTTTCTAGTGTTTGACAGCAGCAGAAGGTTGGTGCAATAGCCAGCTTGCTATTGGATATTGCAAATTGAAATAGCCAATAGGAATCTAGCTATTCATTCCTATGCTGTTTCTTTTTTATTATTATTCTGACGGCAGCAGCTGTCAGAATACTAAAAAAAAACTAAAAAAAAGCAGCAGATAGCAAAGAAGCTATTGCTTCCCGTGCAATCTGCCATCATTTCAGGGGGGTGCTCTCTCCCCCCCCCCCTGCAGATGGGCACCTCCCTGAAATGAGGAGGGCATCTCCCTGAACTTGCTTTTTTCAGGTTGGGATCCCTAGCTTTAACTACAAATCCCAACATGCCTCTGGGAGTCATTCCTGTAACTGTCAGTCTTGCAATGCCTCATGGGACTTGTAGTTCCACAACAGCTGGAGGGCCGGTGTTGCCCACCCCTGTCTAGGTCTAAGCGCTGCTACGCATCACATGACACAGCTGTAAAATACTAACATGGAGGCTGAGATCAAGAAAGAGTCAGGTACTTATGGTTAGTGTGTGTAGAATACATGAACTATTTGTAGACAATATACAACTGCATTCAGAGGGTTCAGTGTTCATTAAGTAGATGCAAGCCCTAATATAATGACATTTAGTTAGCAACAGCAGTGTGTGGCAAAAATGGTTGCCACTAAAGAAAAAAACAAAAAAAAATATATTTTCATAGATAAGAGAAATGTTCCCAGTTCTCTTCTGCTGGACTGCAGAACACTCTCCCTCTCGTCATCTCCAAAACATAAGGGGGGGGGGTGTTATGTAGCCCTGGGTAGGGCTGACATCTCTGCTTGGGGTTTAAAGGAGAACTATGGGCTCATTGTTTTTCCCCATAGTTCTCCTTAGGGTAACGGGAGGACACAAACTAGCGTCCTCCCGTTACCCTAAGCTCAGTATACCGCGAGCTACAGCTCGCAGTATACTGAGACGCGACAGCCGGAGCGGATCCCGACGTAGATGACGGGATCCGCCCAGCTGCGTGAGTGACAGCTGGCTCTGCCTATCTAGAGGCAGAGCCAGCTGTACCCGCCCCCTCCCCCGTCCGTTCCGCCAGTCAGCGCTGGCAGATCGGAGCGGGGAGAGGGGAATCCAGCCCCTCCCCCTGTCACGGCAGAGAGCCGTGACAGGATCGGAAGGTGAGCAAACCTGGTATGTGTTCGCTCACTTCCTGATCTACTGAGCCGACCTGTGACAGTCTCATTGTCACAGGTCGGCTAGAACTATGAGGTGAGTGGAAATCACTCATCTCATAGTTCTCCTTTAAGTCAGCAGAAGCAGCATTGTCAGTCCAAACAAGAAGTTAGGAGTTTAGAGGATTTCTGGCAGGATGAACAAGTATTTTTCTGTACTTGCAGTGTTTTTAAGAAACTAATCATGGGGAAATGTGAACTTATTGCAGAGATGTACGGAGTATGTTTTTCTTTTATCTCAGACTTATATATGAGCAGTTTTTTGTTTTTTTATAATGTTTATGAGAATGGTGAACATCACACCAATGCTCACTATAGGTAGATGAAAGATGAGTTGGATTTTCAGTCCCCAGTGTCCCCAATGTTCACATCAGAACATCCTGCTGCTTCTGTAATAATGCACCTGAATGAAATTCCTCAGGTTATAATAGGAACAGGTGTTCTGTCACTGCAAAGGACCCGCGCTCCCCCAATTATCCTCCCGCTGGCAGCTAACTGACAGACTCATTTCCTTGCTCTCTCAGCCGCATCCTTCCTCGGCTCACACTGTGCCGCTCTCTGGCTAAAAATACCTCCAGGCATTCTCTAATGACCCCTGCGTAATGGCACTGACTGTGCACAGCCAGAACTCCAACAATGACCAGGTATATAATGACAAGACCGAGTCTGGAACACTAACAGCGGAGGCACGGCTGGGTAGAAGTACATCAGTGAGGCAAACCAGTGGTGAATTAGTAAGGGCAGAATGGGCGGCTGCCCAGGGCCCCAGACTCAGAAGGGGAGGGGGCCCATGAGGATGCTAAAACAGTCATTTCCAGCTTTGAAAGTCTGCTGTCTCAGAATGTGGTCAATGTTGGCAGCCTTTCTGTTATTTTCAATAAAGATTTCGTTCAATAAAATTTAACCATCGTACAGGATACATATGAGCTTTCCCTGTACCGGGAACATTGTTTCAAAGTTATCTGTCAGCATCGCATGCAAGGCCCGTGCTGCCAATGAGGACAACTGGGGTGGTCACTTCAGGCGGCACATAGCGTGGGACACTGAGGTTAACGTGTCCATACCAGACATCCCTGTGGGGGTCTCATCCCTGTAAGGGTCTCGTCCCCATGCACTCCAGTGTCCATATCGGACATATGAAAAATTTGGTCAGAACATTCAAGAATGCAATCAGAGACTTGACAAATGTCAATCAAACTTTCATTGGACCCTCATGGGGTCTCACCCCATGAGGGTCTCATCCTTGTGAGGGTCTCACCCCATGATGGGTGAGACCCTTTTTGTACATTGATAGGTAAACGGACTCTCGGACACATCATTACTGTGTCAAAATACAGTATGACACATAAGTACCTTATCATCTGCCCTCTACATGGTTCTCTATACAAATATACAAAGAACTGGTAACAATAGCAGCTCAGCTAAAAATACAGGCCTGGCCTGTCACAGCCCTGCTGGAAATTGAAGGAAAACCTCCATTACATCAACTATTGAGAGAATTCATTCTGGAGTTATTCATTAATC